AGTCATTCATGTTTCAATTGCCGTGAGTTTAATCCTTAAATTATAGATTTTAGACTTCAGGTATTACAGCATATCTTATTAGGAATATGCAAGTATTTCTATGGGTGGTGGATAGATTTTTTCCCTCAACTTTGGCAATAAAAACATCTATTAAAGAGATACTGACACTTAAGTGGAAAACTGAAAAAGTGGTCAAAAATAAAGTTTGAATGAATTAGAGGAAGTAATCGTGCTCAAAAAAGTATTGGTCCAATTGCTTTTTTATCCAAGTAGTGTTGATCTTTGAAAAAAATAAAGAAAGGTATGATCACTAAAGTCAAATTACACAGCAAACCATGAAAATTAAACGAATAAACTTAAAACTTAGGAGGTGAAAATTTTAATTATTTTTTAATAAATTTTATTTTAGAAAACTATTTTTTCATTGTTCACTTCTTGCTTTCGCTACTTTATTCATTTCTAAATACGTACTTTTCATTGATTTTTTTATATTATTTAATTTCCTTTTTAAATTTTTTTCTTCAGCAATCAAAACACTCACCACTCATCTCTATTATTCTTTAAATTGTTGGGTTTTCTTTTTTTTTTTTGAAATCTTAACTTCATCAGTTTTTAAATCTTAATTTTTCATAGTTATGAATTTTTTTAATACGTTATTTCAAAAAATATGACCATTGATTTTACGATAAATAATCAATTAAATACAATCTGTTTATTATTATTATTATTATTATTATTATTATTGTCAGAAATTAGGTTGATTTTAAAATATACTTCCGAATTTAAAAAATATTTGAGGGGAGAAATTAAAAAAAAAAAAACAGAGTATGTTATTAATCAACGGATGTATTTAACAAAAGTATATACACCCAACAACGTAGGATAGCCCATGTTCATGTCCATATTCATATTCATATTCATGTCCATACTAAAAAATACGGTTTGGGCTATTGACCCAACTTATTATAAAAAATAAATAAATAAATAAATAAAAGTTCCCTGATTATCGTAGCTGAGGCCTAACTCATAAGATTTAGTGATTTACGTAGTGGGGAAAAAATAACCGGGCTTATCGTTTTCTTTTTCTCTAAATGTGAATATTATAATTATGTAGAATATTAATAAATATATTTAGAATAATAGTTAATTTTTTTAAATAAAAGTATTATCAATATTTTTATCATAATTTTTTTTAAAAATTATAAAAATTTTAATCAAAATTCCTATTTAAAATACTGATCTGTAAGTTTTTTAACTACAATGGTTTTGTTAATCAAAAGTTAAAAGGTTTAAATAGAAACACCCCACTTTCATACTTTTTATGGAGGGTAATTAGTAATTTTTATAAGATTTATTGAGGGTAATTTAGTAGTCCAGAACGGGTCGTTCTCAAATTGGAACGGGTCATTCCAAATTACTAAAAAGACCTATTTTTTGTTTTCCAAAACGGGTCATTCCCAAACTGGAACGAGTCGTTCCAAACCATCAAAATGGCCTATAACCCTAGTTGGGAACGGGTCGTTCCAAAGTTAGGAACGGGCCGTTCCAAAGTTGGGAACGGTCTGTTCCAAATATGGACTTGTATATTAAAACGCAAACTCAGAATGTTCTGGTTTTTAGAACGAACCATTCCAGATGTCAAGTTTACACATGCTGAAAGGATCCAGAACGGGCCATGAATTTGAAACGGACCGTTCTGGCCACTCCTAAAATTTATAAATAGAGCACTTTGGCACTGTTTCTGGACACATTCTATAGAGACCAAGGAGAACCAAGAGAATGAGTGAGAAACCTCGCTAAGGGTGTGAGAATAATTGTTGGGTAGTAGGATTGACCCTTAATCCCTTGCCTGATGCATGCTTCTAGGAACAGGCAAAATATGAATGTTTTCTGTTTTGCCATCTAATTGTTCTGTTGGGTTTCTTGTTGGATGTGATGTGTAGATATGAGATTGATTTTGAGAATGAATATGTTTTGATATGAATTAGAGTTTTCTATGGGTTCCTACCGGAAACCCTATGAGAAATAGACAAAATATGAATGTTTTCTGTTTTGCTTTCTCATTGCTCTATTGTACTCTTTGTTGAATGAGATGTATGAATATGTGTAATTTTGAAAACATATAAGTTTTAATATGAATTAGAGTGTTCTGTGGGTTCTTTTGGGAAACCCTATGAAGTAAAATTAGGAATATGATCTATGGATGATTTGAGGCATTAATGTAAAGTTGATGATGACTTCATGTTTTGGATAAGTTCTTGGTATGATTTATGTACTATTTTGATGTATATGATTACAAGAAGTTTCTTGTATGAGACTATGTGAATATGATGTGAGAATGTGAAAGGTGAACATATGATCTGTGATATGACATTGTGAAATAATGTTACATGAGATATGATGAGATATGAAATGTGAAATGTTGAGTCAATGAAATCATGAATGTGTGACATGCATCATTTGCATTTATGAGCTAACTATGTGTACCTTGGGTCACCACGTGATGTAACAAGCTAATTAGGTGTACCTTTGGTCACGAAGTGATGTAACCAACTAATCAAGTGTACCTTTTGGTCACAAGTGATGTAACCAGCTAATCAGGTGTACCTTTTGGTCACCAAGTGATGTAACAAGCTAATCAAGTGTACCTTGTGTCACCAAGTGATGTAACAAGTGTACTTTTTGTCACCAAGTGATGTAACAAGTTAACATGGTGTACCTTGGGTCACCAGTAATGAAATGATGAGAAATATGATTATGAGACACGTAACTGGCACCACATGCATTTATGAGTCAAGTCCATGAGATCATTGCATGATGAATGACTGTGCATGTGTTACTATTGTATGTATAATTTGAATTTGTACCTAAATAATGTGTAGCTATGGCTGTGCTTGTATGATTTGTGTGTGTGTTGTCTAACTGTTATTTCTACATTTAGAATCGAGTGAGATGTTTCTCACTCCCTTGTTGTCCTTTGTATGTGTTTAAAATTGTGTTGCAGGTGATCATCAGCATGAGAATGTTAGTGATGAGGCTTAGGCTTCAGTTGGGCAAGCTCTGATAGGATATGTGACGTCGGGGCATAGCTAGGTATAATTAGGACTTCATTATTGTATTATGTTTAGGAAGAACTCATGTTTCATAATTTTTCCGCATTTGATCAGGTTTTAAGTTGATGAATATGAATTCTCTACTCTCATGTTATTGGAATTGTTGTTTTAATTCTAAAGATTTTTTTTAACCCAATATGATATTTCTCTTAATTATTATATATTCATGCTGAGGTAGAGGGTGTCACAGAAAGTATAATATTTAATATTGATTACACATCTTAACGCTAATTCTTATAAATTTTTTTACTAATTTATTATCTATTATCTTGAGAATAACCTGTATTATGATTGCCATTTGACAAGAATTTACATGTTAATTAATTGTAACTATTTTTTTTTTTAATTTTAAGGACCAGAATTGTTCATATTTTCTTTTATCTCTTCCTTTATTTTAATCAAATTATACGTTATAATTTTGTGGTTTTCTCTAACTCGAACATGATTGGGTACAATGAAAGATGTTTATAGTTTATAAAAAAAATATACATTACATTTGTTATTTTTTTCTTTCTATCATTTTTTCCTTTCTCAAAATATATACACTTCAAAAAAATATAAAGAAAATAACTTTCTAAAATTTATCTAATATTACATTTTGCTTTAACAATCAATCGTTAATAACTATATTTATCTCTTTGCATAAAATAATAAAACAATATTTTAAATGATTAACAAACACTCATGAGTTTAATAAGGCAATTACTTTATATTGAAATAATATTATTTACATAAAAATATAAATATTAACTTTATTTTCAGTAAAAACAAAAATTAGAGATTTTTTTTCTTTCTATTTTCTCTAGCATTAATTTTTTAAAAATTATTAAATTATATAAAAAATTCATATAAAAAATCCACATTAATGTTTTAAAGAAATATATCATTGAATTTCTTATAAATTTTTATAACAATATAATATTTGTAGATTTATTATTTTGCATCGTCTCATTATTATGAAAAATATAATTTATTAATTAGATATTTTTAATTTAAAATGTATGTTTTATTATATTAGGTATTTTAATTATTTTATTTAATATTATTCATATGATTAATGAAATTGAGTTATTAATTAAAAGTTACAATAATTATCAATATTTTCATAACATGTTTTTATAATTTATTTTAGGTTAAATTATACTTTCAGTTATTATTTTTTTAAGATTTATTTTTGTCATTTATCTATTAAATTATTCATTTAATCTTTTATCTTTTATATTTAGATTAATTTGATTCTTTTAAAATAATTATAATTTTTAATTTTATGATATAATTCTGAAATCATTTTCGTCTAATTTAGGATGTGAAACTTATAATAATAGATTTAACTATATTTTTTTAAGGGAATAGATTTAACTATATAAATACTATGAAATTCAATAAATGTTCCAAATTCATAAAAGTTATAAATATAATAAAAATCAAGTGAAAAATATATCTCATAGGCAATTAGAAAATAATGTAAACTTATAATTGTTGAATTTTTAATTATCTTTTGATCTTATTTTTATGCGATTTTCACCATATTTATGATATTTTTTATTTAAAATTTAGTTGTATTTAATAATTCATAAAAGTGAGTTTAATGAAATGAATTTCAAGTTTTGAATGAGTAAAAAAATAATCCAAAATCATGTATTAAAATTCAAAACAATCATTATTCCAAAAGGATCAAATTGATCTAAATTTAAGAAATAAATAACTAGAATGAACATTTTAAAGGATAAAATTTAAAATAAATCTAACAAATAAGATAAATGACAAAAATATAATTTTACCTTTATTTTACTTTTTAACTAAAAAGGAATCAAATGCAAAAAGTAAAATACATTCAGTTTTTTAATACTTATTATATAAAACATTAAGAAAAACATAAGATGAAGAGATAGTTTACAAAATCAAATAAAACAACCAGGATTGGCCTGATGAAAAGTTTAAGTAACATGCATAAAGAAGTGGCCTTCTTGTTGTGGTTGTTATTTCTACTTATTAAAATATATACAGTTTATTCATTTGTTTGGTGAAACCGATTAACATGAGCGTACGAGGCGACAATCACTTTGTTTTTGTCTGTCTGAAACAGAAGCTTTGAGTTGTGCATGTTCTTCATTTGTACAATGTCTCTTCATCATCCACATTATTCATCACTTTTTGTTCAATGTCACAAAACTCATTATCGTGACACCAAAGTTGTACATCATGCACAGGGCTAAAGCAATGGGGTTCACCCACAAAAATATCACAAGGATCACAAGAAGTGTCAAACACATATGTTTCCAACCAGAAGTTTTCGCTCATGGAGTCTTGGTATGCATCCACAAAATCAAAATTTTGTGTGGTTGTGGAGAATTCATTCGAGGATGACGTCATGCATGAATCGGTTAATCGAGAAATTGGTGGAAAGTTTTGGAAAGGAACTTGTACATTATTAATATTGTTTTGATCTGGTTTTACGACCGGAGTTTCATCCTTTGACTCGGATACTTGAATTTTGCTACATATGTTCGAGCTCTGTTGGTATCGTTTCTTGAGATTGGTGTGCCAATAGTTTTTTATTTCGTTGTCTGTTCTTCCCGGCAGTTGAGCAGCAATTGTAGACCATCTGCATATATAACAAGAAGGAAAGCTTTAAATCACGTTATAAATAATATAGCTGGAGACAAATTTATGAGTAAAAATGCACACACAAAGTTTTTCTCTTCAATTTCTTCCCAATGAGTGGAAACATCTAATTAAAAATATGTGAAAATCATACACAGTATTTTTCTCTTCCTGATTTTTTCTAAACCAAATAAGAACTCAATTTTTTTTAATATTATTAATTTTGTAATATTTTTTATTAAAAGTTTAAATTAAGAAAAGGTATGATCTCCATAAAATATTAGAGTCGACTATTAATGTCTTTAAAATAATCAAATCGAGAACGAGTATTAAACCGAGAGTTGAGATGGGGACGAGGACAAAGTAGGTAAGTATATACTCGTCTTCATCCTTGCCCCAATTTAATATTTTAGATTTTATCCGTACCCGTATTCGGTCAACCAGGATATTTCCTGTTAAAGTTGGGACGGATTCGAATATTACTCATAGATACATGTTTATTTATCATCGCTACAGGGGACTACTGCCCATATCCACCCATTTCGTTGACATCCCTAATCCCTATAATTTGATAAATGAGTGATTTTAATTTCTAGGATTTCAAGTAATTGCTTAAATTAGGTTTTATTTTTTGGAAACTTAAATTAATTGTTTAAATTGGGTCATTATACTTTCTACCAGAAAAAGAAAGTTGGTTCAACATTTTTATTTTTGGCCTAACATCTAAGATGGTATCAATAACATAATGTGATGTGACAACAACAAAATATCATAAGTGCATTAATTAAATATAAAAATTTAGCTAAATTATTAATATTTAGTATAGTTATTAACAATTTTTAACTTAAATATTAGTATTTTAAAAGTTTAATTACATTTTTATCCCTCAAGTATTGCAATTGTGAGCAATTTTGATCCTCAAAGTTTTAATTGGGTAATTTTCGTCCTTAAAAGATTGTAATTGTGCAATTTTAGTTTTTCAATTTTTAATTGAACAATTTTAGTCCCTCAAATATTATAATTGTGCGATTTTAGTTTCTCTCATTAAAAATTTAATAATTTTAGAATAAAAGCGGACAATATCTCACAAATGTGGAGATATGTGTATGTGTGTGGTAATCCTTAATGCACAACAAGTTGCTATTTGCTAACAACCATCTTAGTTGAATTAAAATCTAAAACTCACATTAAAAATTAATTTAGTTAATTTTTGATCTTAATCAAAGATTTGCAACAATTCACTAATAAAAAAGTGTAATTATTTTAGGTTTAAATATATTTTTATCCTTCAAGTATTACAATTGTACGATTTTAATATCTCCATTAAAATTTATTGATATTAATTTATCAATAATATTAAAATACTAATAATATATAAATTTTATTTATTTAGTAATAATAAATATATATCATTTGATATATTAACAAAAATTATAATATATGTTAACTTAAATAAGAAAATAATTATATAATTTTAAAATATTATATATATATATATATATATTCTAAAATTACTAAATTTTTAATGAAAAAGACTAAAATCGTACAATTATAATAATTAAGGGACTAAAATTGTTCTATTAAGAATTAAGGGACTAAAATCACACAATTACAATCTTTTAAGAACTAAAATTATTCAACTAAAATCTTGAAGATCAAAATTGCACAGTTACAATACTTGAGGGATTAAAAACACAATTAAGTCTATTTTAAAACATACTGATATATGAATAATTTTATTTTTTATATTTTAATTTTTACAAAATTTGACATATATATTCAAGGTAATATAAAGTTATAGTTCAATAGTTAAATTGACAAAATTCACATTTTATATAAAGTTATTGAACGGTGTAGTAATTGTGAAAGTTACGTCAGTATAATTTGATTTCTCTCCTTTAAAAGAAACATATATTAACAAAAAAATTAGAAAAATATTTTTATATCAGTATATGTTAAATTGTTAATTATATAGAGCATATCTAGGGAGAAGAGAGTCTTATTATGAGAGATGAACGAATTAGGTAAATTGTAATATCTTAAATTTACTAAAATTATTAAAAAAAATATTTTTTAATTAATTAAATAAATTTTATAATTGCATTAAAGTCTTATTAAATAATTATGAGTATTTTTGTTAATTAAAGATAGATTTGTAAAACTATTTGTTATATTAATCGTTAGAGATTGTTTTTACATATTTTGATTATATATGGTTTTGATTGATCGAGAGGTTTTGTAGATAAAAATGTTTTAAGATAAGAAAAATAAAGATTTCAAAATTATATTATTTGAATAGATATTATCTTATGTATTTGAAGGAAAATAAAGATTTCAAAATTATTTATTTGAAAAGATATTATCTTATTATTTATATATAATTTTGAATTAATTAAGTGGGATTATTTTGATAACAAGATTTAATGATAAAAAATTCTAGTTAATTATAATAGATAATTATTTGAATTTCAAGATGGGAGTAACAAACGATAAATTAATGAGTTTTTGTCGTTAGGTTATACATGGGTTAAGGTTTTGTATTTCTTATTTATAGATTAGTTGTCTAGGGTTGCCTCTCATAGTTAACATGCATTTTTATGCTCTAAAGAGGTGAGAGCGAGTTGTCATTAAGATAGAATAACAACAAAACACAAGAGTTAAAAGAATATAGAAAATTGATTGTTCAATTCGCACATCTACAGGCAGTGATCTTAGAATTGTTGTCAAAGTTTCATTCGTTGTTCGATCAAATTGATTTTTGGACAATTAGTTTTTAGAAAATTATTCTACATTTTCAACGGTTGGATTGTCAAAAGGATTTTTAGAGTTAGAGAAAAATATTTTGCAATAAAAGTTATTCTTTTGAGGATTTTCATCTTCTTACTTCTCATTGAGGAATGAGAACCAAAGATGATCTTGGAGATTCACATATGAAGCTTGACATCCATCAAGGTAAGGGAGAGGGTGCGAACCTCACTCCGAGGTATGGGTTATTTATTGGGTAGTAAGATTGGTCTCAATCCCGTTGTTGTGTATATTTGTATGCTTGAGGGGTTAAACCCAATTCTTGTTTTTGATTGTAATGGATACGTGTACATGTAGATAATGCCTCTTTGATTTCTAAACATGTTATTATATTGAAATTGTTCTCTTAATTTATGAATTTAATTGCCTCTATTTGTGAATCTATGAGTGCAAGTGAGTTCTCAAGGGAACCCTAAGGATATATCTAAATCCTTGAGTAAGAGGTAAATTGAATGTTTAATTGTATGTCTAAAAATGAGAATAAATTAGATTATAGATACCCTTTAATTACATGATTTTGTAATAGTAATAGAACCCAAACTTGTAGTGAGTAAAATGTGAATTATGCAAAAATATGACTTTACTAATACCGCGTCAAGCACCATATTGGGCTTGCTGAATGCGAAAACATGAAATGCTCACAGGATTGATGATGTTAGGCATGAGTTCACTCATGTCAAGCATGGGAGCTCCAGGGAAATCCCTGTGGTGATCTCGCCAAGCACAGGAAGAATCATGTCAAACGTAATCCTTTTAGAGGCTCGCGGCCTCCTTTGCACCGAGTATAGGGCACCCCACATTAGGCACTGTCCTATACTTGCGACTTGTATACCTAAAACTGTGTTTTTAATTAATTTAGTAATGTTGAATGAATTACATGATTTATTGAATGTGAGAGTGAGTTATCTATGAAATGTGAGGTGAATGAATAGTATGTGATGTGCCTAAGAATGAGAATTGAGAATGTATGAGCGACATTAAATGCTTAATTTGTTTTGAAATTCATGAGTTATGAGACATGTGATGTGTGTAAATAGAATAAGTGAGCAAGCCTAAGTATGACTTAGCAGTGAAGTGAAATATGAAATATGTATAACATGACTAAGATTTGTTGGTTGTGCATTAGAGTTTATGTGTGACATCATCATTTGCATAAAAGTGTTTTTTGTGTGATGGGTACGATGTAAAATACACTGCCAGGGAAGGTCCCCCTCGTGTAAAAGCTTGGGGATTCCATGACCTTGGGGATAACTAGGTTTGGGAGTCTCAATCATGCCACATTGTGTGTATGGGGTAAAACTTAGCCAACATAGTTATATTGACGTGCCACTGGTGTATTTTCTTTTACTGAGAGTTTTGTAATGACTTGACCCGACATGTACTCCTAGACTACTTAGCTTTCGGGCTGTGATAAAGTTTTTTACTAGCGCAACATGCATGTAGTTAGGAGAGTCTTGTTCTTGCATAAACATAACATATTTTGTGCAATTAATTGTTATGTGATAAAGTGTTGAGTGTTAGAATGTGAATAAATGCTTATTAATTTATTGATATTAATTATTAACATATGAATTATACGATTATGTTATGTACTTTAGTATGTGTGTGGCTACTCGACCTTTTCCTACACCATTATTCGAAGTGAGATATGTTCTCACTCCCCTGTTTCTTTGTGTTATTTGGATTTATCTATGCAAGTAACCTTGATTTAGAGGAATTTAGTTATTGATGGAACTACTATACTAGAATATGGCATCGGGGTTATTAGTATAAGAATTATTTTTCTTTCTTATTTGAATTAGGACTTTTGGATTTAGTTTGTTTAAAAATGTTTCCACAAAGTGTTTTGAACTCATAGTAATAGTTTACTTGGCTTTAGTTTTTTATGTTGAATTTGAATGTGGCACATGAATGAAGTATTATTTTTGAAACTATTATTTTATGTTATTATATGTATGCATGTGAGGTAGAAAGTATCACATTTAGTGGTATCAGAGCCCGATTGATTCAAATCGGACTTGTGTGTTATGTGCCATGATTATATGTGTTTTGTGTGTACTTTTATTTGTGATTGAATTTGTGTTGTAATATGCATGTTTTTCTTGATTCTTTTATTACTTATTTGTTTTGATACTTCTTGCTTATGTAAGAAGTAGTGGTTATGGGTGGTATCACTTAGGGATGGCAAAGTGGGCCATGGCCCGCGGGCCGGCCCGTTGGCCCGCCAAAAATTGGCGGGCCGGGCCAATCATTTCAACCAGCCAAGTCCGTCCAACCAAGCCCGTTAACTTGCCGGGTCAAATAGCGGGCCGGGTCG